GATAAAGACATTTTCCACGTGAATGTAAGCGGCTTAAGCGATGAATTGTCGATGGAAATTGCCATAAACACTTTTCGCATCCGTAGGAAAATTGAATATTTACCACAATTTATCTCTCACCGAGTCACTCACACGACCACCATATACGAAGCATAGTTCGTCCAAAGTCGACAGAATTTTGTATAGTATTAATGTGTGTTTAAAATGTTGATTGCTCTGTTGCGTTTATCTGATCAGTATGGAAGAAAATGTATACAGTTTGCACAACCTTCCCCTATTTTCAGCCTACGTGGCATAAATCTAGAAAAGGACCGAAATATATCCGTGTAACAGACAAACAGAGACAGTCGAAATTCGATAATGCAACCTGCCAAATGACTGACAACTATTTACAGAGTGGCGCAAATACATATAATAAAGCATTTGTAGACAAATCGATAGCACTTAAATTCCTGACCCAGACATATTTATATACAAGGTGCTTCATGCTCAACCTTGATAACTTCGGGAATCAATAGCAAATCGACTCATTCCGGAGATCCCGATAAATGTACACACCCTGTACCAAAATGGGACAACTTACGACATGTGCATGGTTTGGGTCGCCCTCTCTCCTCAAACCCAGCTGGTTGTAGTGGTGCAACCCGGACAGGCCGCCATACGGATCGGTCAGGTACTCTAGATGCTGCTGCGGCGGCGGACTGGGGGCGGCATGGTGGAATGGCGGCGGAAAATAGGGCGGCTGAAAGTCGGGCTGCGGCAGCTGGTGTTGCATGGCGGCGGCGGCGGCTGCGTGGTGCAGGCTGCCGGCCGCCCCGCGGCCGCCCCCTCCCGACGCTCCTGCCCCGTAACCTGGCGAACCGCCACTGAGCGCCAGCGAACCGTGCGGCCCCGTTGTCAAACGCTCCTGCAACAAACAATTGACATTTCAAATTCACTGTCAACAATGTCCATAGTGGGACAATGTCAAAAACGTTAATAATATACGGTGTATTTCCTAAGAACGTGGCAAATCAGAGCTCTTCATCTCATTTGGATCTGGGCAAAATGGCAATCTGGCCCCAAAGAATACCATCGCACGAAGTGAACTTCTGGAATTTTAACATTTCGGGCGCTAACAGAAATGTTTAGGGCCTATTGAGCAAAAAATGCAATCTCTCTTACAAATAAATTGAAAACTGATTAACAAATACCCTGAGGAAGGCCCGATTTCTAAACCTTCAGGGCCTATAGTTCGAATTTGTTTGTGTAGAGTCACATGAAAAAAATGTAGCGAAAAACCTGATGATGGCGCAAATTTTTCTACTGGATTCGATTAATCAAAAATAAAAATCCGATAATTAACACATACCAGGGAGAATCCATTGATTAATCCATTCTTCATGCAGTTGGTCGGTGATCAATGGTGGCAACAAACCAACTCTCTTAATGAAAAATAAACTTGTCGGAAAACAGGAAAACACCGTGCGGTTTGCAAAGCCTACTAGAGCGCGTCGCGCGATAATCTAAACGCGCCTCCCTTGATCCAAAACGCCGTCGGGCGTCGCCAGCACGTGGCCCGAAGACGGCCGAACTGGATAATTAGGGATACTGACTGATTGATGATCAGACTGAGTTTTGATTGGATTTTTTCCTTGCCGGCATTGCGATAGGAGGAAGGGGAATTCGGAATTTCTAGGGAAGGGATCCGAAAGTACTCGCATGCGATCAAACGAACATCGGACGGTAGCAACATCATGGTGCAATAATGCGAACGATCGCGAAAAGAATTCTTCTTAATCTCATTCCACACACTTCGACTGTTCGCTCGCACGTGCATAGCGGTTAAAAGACGGGATTTTATTGAACGGGGCGGTAAAACGTTTTTACACCGAAACAACGCCCCCTTCGAAGATTAATCACTATGGGCCGTAATTACAGGCAAACATAAGTTTGATATGTCGATGAACTTGGGCACGGCCAGAGCATAACTGTAGGCCGCAAGAAAAAAATCAATCGAAAAAATCTCTAGTTTTTCAATTCGCTTGTTAACTGTCTTGTAAAAGCACATACAAATGTTCAACTAATGTTCCTGTGGCGGAAAGGTCATTATTTATGATTGCTTCGTGATTATCGAATGGCCTTTACGAAACTTCTTTAATGGCTGGCAATAAATTCACTAGATTTTTCGCCGTTTGTTCGACAATTTTTAATTGAAACGCTGCTCGAGACTGAACGGCGGGGATGACAAGTCAAAACTTTGAGTTTAACGCGAAAATGTCACTAATACAAGCGTTAGTTGAGTGACAGTTGGCACTGGAAGTGTCATTGCTAGTCACGCGTTGACAGAAGCTGTAGACGTATTTTACCCACGTAGAGAATCCATATACTTATACAGCATACTAAAAGGGGGGGTGTTAGACAGGTCTCTGATTCTGCTTTATATTTGTGGTTAGTTTTCAAAGATGCTCTTCAAAACTTCACATGTATAACAAGGTCGAACATGTATGCATGCATGTTACGCGTTAAGTCTAGTAGGTATATAATTTGACCACCAGGGAGCGAAAAAGTAAGCAATTACCACTCGAGTTCCAAGTAGGCAATTAAAAAGTTATAAAACGCAAGCATTAATGTTTCTGGCTTATCGACGAATAATTAATCGTTTTTTTCTCTTGGCGCGCAATTTAAGGAGTGCTACATGACTTTCAGCGCATTCAACAATGGGGGCCGACTTTTGACGAAAATCGGACGGCCATCAGTCTTCGGCCCGATTTCGATCAAATTATAGATAATTTTTTTCCGACCTGGCTATTATAACGTCTAACGGTATCGAGCCGCAATTGCCCAATAAGCAACCGCGCCGTTTCTATACGAAAATCATATCGGCCATTTTGTGTAGATAGTACCTACTGTCAATGTCATCGGTGCGTCCGATGGTCAGTAATTGCTACTAATCACAATCAGGCATTCCAAAATCGTTATTACATTTTTATCCTTCAAAGTGTGAAGTAAAAATTTTGTCATTACGTTTCGGCGATGCAACAGCGCCATCATCAGATTTAAAATTTACACAAACTCATAATTGTATCTCGAAAGACAAATTTATGGTTTCAAGAAGGCAAAGACCTAAAAGAACGTAATGTTTACCAATTATGAGTTTGTGTAAATTTTAAATCTGATGATGGCGCTGTTGTATCGCCGAAACGTAATATGAAAATTTTTACTTCACATTTTGACTGAGCTCCAGGAAGGATAAGAATGCAATAACAATTGCACGCATTCAGGAAAATAAATGAAAATTCCAAAATCGACCCAGCGACCTATAAAGACCCTCATTTTCTCCCCGCGTACCTGCCAAATCATAGGTGAGCCGACAAAATCTCCCGTCGGGTTAGCAAGTTTCGTCTTTGACGATTTATCTAAATAAGTGACACAATACGGACCGAACAGGTTTATTTTTATTTTCCAACAGATCCCGAACACATACACACACACACACACATAAATTAATTTATTTGCTTAACGGTATCGCGGCTCTTATGCGAGATTTAATGGATTTTACTATTGGTGGGCACGGCTGGCCGGTCGCTTCGGAACCAGAAGAAAAAACGGTCTTAGAGGAGGAATTAATTGGCAGGCAAAAGGAAGACGAACTGGATGTGCGTAGGTACACGCACGAAGGTCGCCACCCTTTTCGCACCTTTTTTCCGCCCGCCGGTCACCAATTACCGACAAATAGCGTATTTCCTGAAGAAGGGCCGACCCCCCGATTCGCACAAATTACCATAAACGATTGCCGTCAAGGGCCGTCAGCCAATGGGACCCCAACGGAAATGAAAACTTAGCTAATCTCGCGCCACTTTGCCCCAGAACGTGCCCATAACACATTAGGTACTGATGTGATTTTGCATTCAAAATCTTCAGCGACAAATTAAACAATCTGACAACATTTGGTGGCCGAAATGATGTCTAGTCATTTGACACTTGTGTTGTTGACATCGGTGTCATATTGGTGTTTGCATCTGATTATGATTTTTTTTGTTTGGTTCTAATCAGCATTTTTGCTTTTTTTCGTTCGCCTTCATTTTTGCTTCAATTGCAGCTTTTGCCTTTGACTTGGTACCAACTCCAATAGATAGACAAGTCTGACAGCGCAACTGTCACTCGTCAACCAGCGATTTGACGTTTCGCCCCATCGGTAGTTGAACTCGCGAAGAGACAAAAGTCAAAATATTTCTACGATATTTCAAATGGCGCTGGCAAAAACTTGGGTTGTCGTTAAAAATGCAAAAATGTGCGTCATTAAATTTGACGTGTCCGACATTGAATCGAAGCCCGCCCTAATCGGGGCACTTTTTTCACAGCCAATAAAAATACGCAGCTGCCGCTGTTGGTCCACTATTGTGCGCATCAAAGCGTTATGTGATGTGATCTTTAACCTCATTCCCAATGCTATTGAATGCGATTGATTCTCGATTTCGAGCTGGCCCTCGATCCGGCGTATAATTTATAATATTTATGCGCTATATAATTGTGAATAGCTTTCACAATGAACTGAAGAAAAACACGTTATTGATGATGGATCTGAAGGTGTTGAAACGGTCAGCTTCTAATATAGCGGTTTGCTTAGGTTACCATAACGCAAGTGTATGGTGGGACGGGAATGTAGATCAAGGCGCATTTAAATAAAATGGGTAAAAATGTCACTACGGGGTGAGTCTGTTGAGCAATAGACGCAAATTTTTGCAAAAAAAAACAGCACTGGAATCCACGCCCAACTTGTGTATATTCCAACCAAATTCTTCATTCGAAAATGAATTTGACGGGCGAATSTCAAAGTTTGACAATTAATTCACTCAACTCACTTTTCGGGCTTTTAGGCYGTCGTAAAATGGAAYTTCTTCCTGACGTTTCGCAAGCMCGAGTGGCTTGCATCTTCAGAAGTGGTTTGCTTGAACGCTTACACTGTTCTCATCAGAACCCGTTCAGTTCTGCGGAAGAACTGAACGCGGGTTTCTAACCGAAGAAATTCTACCGAACGACGGCCTAAAAACCCGAAAATTCCATTAGCTTCAAGGAATGGCCTCGAAAGTCTATCTCTTATTGAATTGGCTTCTCTTGGATTTTAATTGTAACGATGAGTCTTTAATWGTCATACTTGTGATAATCGCTTCYTTAATAAAGAAAAAACCGTTTAATAATGAACACTGATTTTTTTTCAAAGAAACTAAAACAGCCTAAAAATACTAAAAGTGCAACCAAAATCAGGTCCAGGGCAGTTTGGCAATGCCTTTGCAACACTTTGGCGGTTTGACGCAATGCTGCAGACAAGAACAGGCATATTCCGACGGGAGAGAAACGCAGCTGGAGCGATCAATTTGTCTCGCTTTGTTTATTGCGCTGTGCGGCTGCACTGACAAAGACAGGTATAGACAAACTTGGTGTGTGCATTCTGGCGTCTCCGAACTCGCCCAGAAGAAAACAGGAAAAACATTTCAACCCCACAACCAATTAAATTGGCTCTTGTAAAAAAGGTTGGGTCCTACTTAAACACAAATCAAATAAATTGCAGGATTAGACAATTCGATTCAACTTCCCGGTCTAACTTGAACATCAAGTTTCATCAACAGAGATAGACTTTCGAGGGCATTCCTTGAAACTAATGGGTTTTTCGGGTTTTTAGGCCGTCGTTCG